TCATTTCGCATGTGAAGCGGGTTAGAAAATTATTTTTTATTACGTCCTTTTTTTTAATTGTTGTTTTATATGGAAATGTTTAACTACCAACAACTTTCTTTTGCAAGATATGGTTCTTGAATACGAACCAAGATTGATGGAGCTTTTTATAGAAACTCACATGCAAACTAATGATCGATGGAAAAGAGTTTAGCAACTAATGGATAGTTGAGCTCAGAAGTTCAAGTTAAGTTGGATTTCAACAATTTTCTTCTTAAGTTATTACTTTTTTAAATTAGCTTACAGGTTTTCTTAGAAAACATATATCGCCTAACTACAAAATAGGTATAGGGATTATCCTTTGACATATCCAAAACTTGATCCAAATTTATAGCTGGAGGTTGAATCGTCCAGTGGGCTCAATAGAAATCAGATTTATAGAATCTCAAACACCATATCTAAAGATATATGGATAGATCGTAGTATATTTATCATTGGTTCCTCACAATCAAGTTCGAGTTCCCAATGTTTAGAGTTCTATGTTATTGTACAAAAACAAGTTGAAACTTAGATGGCTTAGCTTACTGCTAAGACAAAATAGTTTTGTGCTGAGATAGTTGAACTTAGCAGATTTTACAGGGAGCTTTTGTCAAACATTGATGGTACATGTGGTTCACCTTATCCCCTACCTGGTCCCGAAGAACATCTGCCTTCACCCCCTCTTTTTTTAGCTTATATCCTCTATATGAATTGTATTCAAATTGATAATTTTTAAATTTGTAATAAATATTTTGTTTCTTTTTTTCTTTTTTTTTTAAATTTTACAAAAATATATATTAAACACATTACTAATGAATTAAATCTATCAAAAGTTTAAGAGAGTTGAACACAAATTACATGAAATGCTACTAACCATAACATAAAGAATCACTGACAGACCAAGTCCCTCTGATGATCCCATAAAGTTCAAAAAATATACAAGAAATGCCACTAAGAATATGTACATCACTAACAAATTAATTTCATTAGTAATATCAAAATAAATTACTACTTAAATTAAAATTATCAATATAATGATGCTTGTTGTTACCCATTTTTGGGTTCCCACAAAAAAAAATATAAAAAATACAAAAAACAATATATCAAAAAATATTAAGAAGAAATCTAAAAAATAATAGGAGCGAGAAAAGGATGCTGGAATGCCGAAAAAACACCAAAATTGGTTGAGAAGGTTCAAAAAGGTGAAACATTGAAATGTGACAGTATATTTGTAATTGGTGAGAGCCCTGTTGACAAGAAAAATTGACTTTTAGAAAATCCAAAATCAGATATTTATGGGCTTGACACGACTAAAAGATTGATGGCTATGAAAGTGCCAAGCATTTGTTGTACCAAGTGTTATACAACATAAATCAAGATTAGTTATTTAACAAGCAAAGTATTAAAGAGTGAACAAGATAACAAATATAAAACATGTTAGTATCAAACATTAAAGTCCATATTAAGTTTACATTATACTTATTCTTACACCATTAGTGTAACCTTTTCACCTTGACATAATTAACTTAGCTAGACATAATGAAAGAAAGCAAAATAGATAAACAAAATAAGAACATAAAAGTTAACTAAGTAAAGGAAAGGAAATGAAAGGCATAAACTTAATATTAATGAAAACAAAGCATAAAAAATACAAAGAGAGAAAGGAAGAGCATGATCTTGATCTGGAAACCAAGATGCCTAAATGCATGGCAAATGCCTCCTTTTATAGGCCAAAATTGGAAACTATTGATTTGATGACTAATTGATAAGTGGGTGACCAACTTTTGACTTGGTGACAATCCTTATCTTCTCTTGTCTGCCCAAAACGTCATTGATAACGTCAAAACTGGAGCCAGTTGCAAACATGAAAGTTGTAGGCAATTGTCTCAGCTTTCTTGTGTAAAAAATTCAGCTCATTTGGACTTCTAGAACTCCAGATATGGCCAAAATACCGAACAGTGCTCGGGCTGGAAGACAGATTCGGGCTTCTTTGTTGTTGCTACAATTTGTACTTGATAATGGCCTTTTTAGATCTTGGGCTCCATATGAAAGTTGTAGGCCTATGTCTTACCTTTCCATCCATATAAATTTGACCTAAATCTGAGATATATAGCTCCAGATATGACCCATTTACCGAACAGTGTTCCGGTTTGGATTGCACCGACATCTCTTTTCTAAGTTTGGCCATCTCTTTATCCTTGCAATTTAAGTTCTTCAAGTCATCAATCAATCCTTTCATTTATGTGATAGGTCTGTATTTAAAATGAATATTTACCACAAATTAAAGGTATCTTAGGTTATTAGATATATTATTATAAAACATGTTTTAGTTAAGGAGTTATTGATACTTCAAGTGCAAAATGATGATATAAAACCATGATAAAAATGCATTTTTAAGTACTAATTAGGGCTCAATTAAATTTTATCTAAGATTTAATTGAATTTATGGAGGGTTTGCTTACAAGAAAAAATAATTTTAAAGTCAATTAAGGCCTTTATTGGAAGAAATTAAAGTTCTAGGGTCAAATTATAATTTTTAAAAATTAATTTAGTCAAATCAGGAGCTTAATTGCATGATTATTTAAGTTTGATGGCCAATTAGAAACTTGACTTAGACAATCCAAAACCAAGGACCAAACTGAAAAAGGCATAAAAATCAAAGGATCCAATTAGAATTTACCTAGGGGGCTTGATTAAAAAACAAAACTCCAATGACCAAATCAAAAATGTACATTTTGAATAGGAAACGGCATCGTTTCAGAGGCACTATTCATTCTCTTCTTCAAGAGTCGTTTCAACAGACAGAGAAATTATTTCAGCAACAAAAGCCGCAGATTACTTCAATTATGAGGGACGTTTCCCAGCTAATGCACACTCGCCGTTACTATGTTCATGCAAGAACACTGTTAAAGGGGAAACAAAAAACAAAGGAAACAAATAGCACAATAAAGAAGAGGAGAGAAGAAAAAGAAGCATTGTCTGCCACCATAGTCGGTTGTTGTGACAACAACACCATCGTGAGCCACCAGCACCATGAACAATAACAACTCCATTCCAGGTAGTTCCCTTCCCCTTGTTTTTGTTTTTTGTTCATCTCCTTTGCATGCAAAATATGCATTGTGCAAGTTTTTGCAAGTAAATGAACCTATAATTACATATTATGCATAAGCACAGTAACCGGGTAATTGTATTTGGGTGGTTACTGTGCACAGGAACAGTAACCAGCTCGAGTTGGATCATCAGCCCACCAATAGAGCTAGGTTGAGTCCAACCCAATAAGAGAGTTTGCGTTTTATTGGGCTGATCTTGGCCCAATTTGTTTTTTGGGCCAGGTCCAACCCGTTAAAAAATAAAAAGAATATATAAAAAATTAAAAAGTAAAATTTTCTACAAAAGTTATTTCAAAAAAATCTATGACTTTCTCGCATATTTTTCTACTAAATTTTGCTTAGTATTGGTTTATATTTTTATACTATAAAGATACAAATCCAGTATTAATATTGGGTGATTCTGGACCTAATTTGTTTTTTTGTGCCGAGTCCGGCCCGTTAAAAAATAAAAAGAATGTATAAAAAAGTGAAAAGTAAAATTTTCTACAAAAATTATTTCAAAAAAATCTATGACTTTCCCGTGTATTTTTCTACTAAATTTTGCTTACTATTGGTTTGTATTTTTTTATTGTAAAAGTACAAATCCAGTATTAAAATACCAAGTTTTCATCAAAACATTAAAAAAATATTTGTTTTCACACATACGGCCTAATCTTTCAAAAAAAAAATTATTTCATATTTTCATACAACAAAGATTCAAAAATTTGTATTAGCATGCATTTTGGCTTTAATAATCAGTTTATTAAAATCATGAGAACTAGGTCAATATTTTAAAAATTCCAAAATAATTTTTTTTTTTTTTGGTATCTAGGATTACGACCTTATACGTAAGATGTATTTTAAATATTAAATTTTTTTATTGATGTTAGAATGATTAGGCTTACCTGATAATAGAAAGATCTTCTTACTAAGAAGGATTTTTCTTAAACTATAGATATAACAACAACTAGAAAACACGACAAGACCTCAGATTTTATTAGACAATAAAACAATACAACTTACCATAGATAGAATTTATTTAATGTGCTAATACCTTTCTTTTACACAATCAATTTTCGTACCTGATTTCTAAAATCAATTAGAGTTTCTAGTGATCAAAATATTAAATGAGCGACTTTCATTCTATTTTTCCACTAATAAAAAACAATAATTATATCTTCCTATATTTACCAGATAAATAGAAGATTAACAATTTTTAGAGCAAATGTTTTTTCACCACGACATCATCCCCGTGCAACAATATATATATAAAAAAAATTGAACATCATCCCCATGCAACAATATATATATAAAAAAAATTGAATTAATGTTTTTTTATGTATAAATTCATTAATTATTCTACTATTAACATGATTGAAATCACCAACAATAAGTTTTTTGATTAACAATTATCATCCACATTCTATCTGTAAGTACTTTTTGAGCATAATCAATATCAATACTGACAAAAAAAATCCACTAATAGCACGCAAAATTCTAGTGGTGACTAAGGTGGCATTGAAAAGCCTTTGTTTCAATCATCTGAATACTGGAAAGCTTATCAACGCCTACCCCTTTTCGAATGGCTAGCCTAGATATTGAAAAGCAAAGGTGGTGTTCGTCAGGTAGCACAGAAGTCGGGACCGAAAAATAAAGATACAGATATTAACATGAAAATCAAAACCAAAGTCCTGAATTCGTGCCATTTAGTCTAACCAGATTCCTCAGTTAAAAAAAAGGTCCCAGGCTGTCAAGAATAAAGGATCGGAGACAGCAGCCTATTCGGCCTCAAAATCAAATAAACAGCCTTCCAATTTGCAGCGAATTTGGAGCTCAAATATTATCACAATTTACTCACCCACCCACGAGCTATATCCGAGCTGGTGCCTAGAGGATATTCAATAAATCATTACATACAGATCTTATCACAGAAATGTTGGCACCAAGTTTCCACAAACATTGCAATAATCCAGCAAGCATAAACCTTGCAGTAAGAGTTCTATGCTTGGAAAGGCAAGGGCCTCAGGAGCACATGCATTCTCTTCTTGTTTCCATTTGCCATTTATCAGTGCAAATACATAAAATATGTACAGAAAATGCCTTGATAATGCCAACTGATTGTTACTGTCCATGTTAGTTGACAACTAACTTTTTCAGCAATCAATTCCCTGGTTCTCCATTGTTTCATCTAATCTGATTAATGGTATTGTACATCCTGACAAAAAAAAATTGAGAAACCTTTTAACGTCTAATAGTAGGGCCTTTGTACAGACCCCTCCGTACTACAAAGTTTTCTGGAGGTTGAGTTTCTTCTAACCAAGCAATTTCGGAGGGTTCAATGCCACACAATTCTTCTGTTCCTTCTGCCAGAGGAGAAAAGGGATTAAAATTTTGAGGGGGGGTGGTGCTTAAAAGTTTGAATTGGAGTATGACAGAAAAGAAGTAAAAAAAAAATATATACCAGGCAGTTCTCGCTTAAGGGTTCGACGGAAATAAGAGCAGTGTCGTCCATCTTCTGAGGAATAAGGTGGTGAAAGAACGTCAAACAGAGCACAGGGTGTCATGGCTTTGAAACAATGAATGTTGCCACCACTGGATGGATATAAAACTGTTGTACCACAAGGTGCAGTCATTTCACAATCTCTAACGAGTCTTGCAGGTCTTGCTGTAAATTTCAACCATCAAACTCGATCATTCAAGAAAGGTGCAAAAGACAACCCAAAAAAAGCTTAACCAAATGACTGTTCTATCAGGATAAACGAGGAAGAAATGTTATCTCATATGCAATTATAATCCATATGCTTTCCAACTAATTTTTCCTCGCTAAATACATCGATGCTACTTAACCTGTAATATCATTAAAGTTAGTGGTTTCCCAGAGAACAAGAATTTAAGATATGAGCAAAGAGAATTCAATACTTTGAGTTGGCAATGACTTTAAAATGGATAAAGCAAACACCTAGAATTAGTTGTTGGCTTACAAAAGAACCCCCTGTTCATGAGCATGTAAGCTGTTTTACTGTGTGTTCCAGGTTGTGGCAGAGTTGACACAGACCAGGTTTGGAATTCCAAGGACGTGTTTGCTAATTTTTTCAAAACATTGATTTTGACACTTGTAATAATGGAAACACAATTTCAATGCAAACCATGGTTTAGGAAACCCAACCTCAAAACAACACTTGGGATTGAATTTCCAAAACTATGGGGATAAGTGCCTTGGGTTTCAAAACCACGGTTTTAAAACAATCACCAAACACTCACTATTCAAAACCCACTTTTTCACTCAACAGATTTTACGGATGTGTTTGGAATTGCGGTCAAATTGGCAACTAACTTTTTTAATATAATTTGTGCAGACTATGGTTCTAGATTCAAACTGATGCTTAGTCACAAGCAGTTGCCCAAACTGCTGGTCTGAAAGGAAACTTATAATGCTACAATATACGTATGGCTTACATGTCTTCAATATATCAAAAAACAAAATCATACCATTTGGGTTAAAAATTGTGCATGAAGCAGGAGTGGGAAAAAAAAGAAGAAAGAAACACCACACCAAGTCAATGGTTGTGACAATTGTTTGCACCCCGCCTTCATGCATGAGTTTTTGTGCTATAAAAATTTACTCTATGAATCCAAAAGAAGAAATCTAATTGTCATCTGACCAAATGTATAAGCTTTCTTTACAAGGCCTAAAGAACCAACAAGCTAAAATCATAGTCAACCGCACTTAACATCTTTCAACACGATGTGGGACCTCAGTCAGGGGCTAGTTCTAGACACACACACACACACAGCATCATCTAAAGCACTAGACACTAGCATAATAAAGCAATGTGTCGTACCAATACAAGTGGCATGCTTTAGCCCCACAGTAATAACAATACATGCTTTTAGCCTCTAACAACTATGGTTGATTTGGCTTTTAATATACAATAGCAGATCACATGTCCAACTGAAATCCACCAAAACTAATTCCATAACATAACCAGCAAAATTACAAAGGTAAATAAAGATTATCACCTTGTGATGGATCATTAAGCCCAGGTAGATCAAGCCAATCATATGACTTTACAAGTAACGAGCCATAAAGAAGCTTGCTCAACACAATCATTCCAGGATGATTATGAAGTGGTATGATGGAGGAAGGTGGCATACAAAAGATCCCTATCTGCATCAAAGTCCAAAGTTCATGAATTCAATTTCACTAGCATGAGCAATCCATACAGTTGGAGACAATATTGCTAAAAGAATCAAAGTACAATTCAAATAGAACTTTAAAGTCTTTGGTGATATTAATCACTTACAGAGAATCTGTCACACTCATGCAAATGCAAATATTTGATAGGAGGTGGGTACTGAAGACTCCCATTGCGTCCTTTTCGTCCATTGGTGCCATTTACGGAACCCTTCCATTGACGAGCCAATTGTGCCTCCTGTTCGAGACCCACATTAGAAGGCTTCATTTGATCTGACACAACAAAACATCAAAGTGCAAAGATAATGAATTTAAACTAAATTCGTGAATTTAAACTAAATTCATGGATTAAAAAAATGAGTTACGTTAAGAGCAAACGAGCTAATTTGATATGCAAAAAGGAAAAGGAAATATCCACAAACCTAGAAGAGCACGGACTTTTTCAAGAGCTTCTTCTGATACGGGACCAGTAGCCGAGAAAGACTCTTTGCAGGCATCATACAGTTTTTGAACAACTGGCATGATGCGAAGAATGTAGCAGCTAACCCACTAAACCAATCTAAACTGGAAAAACCACTTATCGGTCACCAATCTTGTATTGAAATCGAGCATCCAAATCAAAAAAACAGCTTGGTCTGCTCTAGTTTACAAGTAAGCATCCAGCAGCAACTTTCTCTCTCTCTATAACAATTCCAAAATCCAGTCTTATGCGAACCGAAAGGACAGCCATATATATGCATTGTGGTTAATCAAGCCCAGCCTCAAATAACTTATATCACCTAGAAAACCAACATTTAAAAAACAAAAATATCCCAGTTACATAAACCGATATTAGTACAATATTATTTTTTGTTCCCTAAGAAACCTAAAAAATTATCAAAAATATCTTAGAACAAAATCAGCAGATTCCATTCAAGCCTACTCTTTAACATACATGTCTTTGCAACAGAACAGAAATGGGATGAAATTTCAGTACGAAAATAACTTGTCCACACAAAAAAAAACAAATCGAACCCATCGAACAAAATTCAACTAAAAAGAGCTAAACCCCAAATTAGATTCAAATAAAAATCAACAGCATATAAACAAACAAAAAAGGATGGCTAAGCTCAAAAACAACCCCCAAAAATCGACATAACAGCATAAATATTCGATAAAAAGAACCCCAAATCTCAGAATCCCAGATCAAAATCACAAAAACAAATACATGGGCAGGTAGAAGGAGAGGGAGGACAGTACCGGAAAAGGGAAAAGAAGGGTCTTTGAAATTGTTTAAACAAAGAATTAAAAATCATCTGAGACAGAGAAATGGAGAGGGGTGAGGGATACTAACCCGCATAAACTGTCATCATATGATGTACCGTGTTGTGTTGGGTAACTTCGCTTTTTCAACTTTCCAGTAATGATGCGGCGATGCTACGAAATGCCCCACGAGGTTAAAAATTCAATGTACCATATCTGTTCACCGATGACACACCTCCCTCTGTTAATGATAGTTTTAAAACCGGGTTTGGCATGGCTGGTTGACCCCAAACTTGCTGATTTAGAGTTGGAATCAGACTGAATTTAGAGGAATAAGAGAAAATAATTCAAGTAATCTAATTGACCTAATTAACTTAATAAAATCTAATTAAAAATTAAATTTTAATTTATTAATTATTTATTTTTTAACTAAAATGATATTATTTTGTTTTATAAAAAACTTAGAATTAATTTATATAATATCATAAATTTATCTTGAGTTGAATAGACTATCATCCGAGTTTAAAAACTTTACTTTTAAATATAAAATATAAAATAAATATTATGTATAAAAATGTTAGACGTATATATATAGTAAATTACTGTATACTACATAGTATCTAGCGTGTGTATTTTGGCATATGGAGAAAAGGTGAGGTAGGTAGGGAAAAGAATATGGCTTATGAGTTGCGGTCATGGACTTAAGGTGTGGTTTGACTCTTACCTGTATAGGTCCTGTGGCAACGAACCGTGGGCTTTATTACTAATTGGTAATTTATTATTAATTTCTACTTTCTAATCAACAAAAACTCTAAAAAGCGTAAAGGAAACATTCTATATCTAGATATCTAGGTATAAAAAATTATTCATGGTTATAGTAAAATTATTATTTTGTTCTTGGATAAGGAATTAGATATGTTGGCTTTTTGGGTGAAATGGTTTTTTATTACTGTTAAATTACTTTTTACTAAGAAAACAATTAGGAATTTTTTATGTTTTACTTTTTCAAGTATAGTACAATTACTATATTGCCTTTGTATTCAAAATTCTAAAAACATGCATTTATGAGCTTATTAGTAATTTTATAATGGTTTTCTCATGATAATTAGATATGATAGTATTGTATTTTAATAAATAAAATAAAAAATAAAAAAATGTGTTTGCACACATCAGTGCATCAATCATTTTGCTATTTTTAAATGACGTATGTGGCTAACTTAAATAGAAAAAACCATGATTCTGACGTATCATTTGATTTTTCTCGGTGTCCATTTTCTCTGTAGACAGCACGTGCATGATGATTATATCTGGTTTAATTCTAGTTTGATTTTTTTTCTTTTTTTTCTCTCTCCTATACCTTTCTATTAAGATTAAATCTTTCTTTTTATTTGAAATGTTTGTGTTAATTATCAAATTCTTTCAAGATTGAGAGGTTTGAGTTAACTATATAATGAATCTTTTTATTATTTAGCAGCAACTAATTCATACACTAAGTATGAGGTCATCATATACAGATTTTATTTCTAAGGCGATAGTTTTAATGAAATAGTAATAAGAAGATGTAGAGAATTATTTTGCCTATGATCTTTATACTTTGACTTAAAGCTCATTTGTGGTCGTTTTGCATAATCAACCTTTTTTTACCATAATAAAAGTTTTAAATTTCTTGGTGAAAGCCTACATTCATCCTAAAAGAGTGATGTTTAACCTTTTCTCGTCTCTCTTTTCTAAGAAAAATCAATGTGCTAATGCCTTACTATAAAACTTTTAAAGTGACTCTCAATGAGAGAATTTAGGTTATTCAGGGATAATTGTTGCAATTCCTCAATCTAAACAAAGTAGTTCTTCTAGAATCCAATGAACTATCCTTGAGTTTTTTTGCTAAATAAAGATAGGAAGTGATAGTCAAGGGGGTAAAAAGATTGATTCAATTTGGACTTTGTATTAGGGTTCTCTAAAATGAAATGAACGTGAAGCTTATTCTGGAAGTAGATATCATCCAAAGTGTCATCATTTAAATTTTTTAAAAAAAAAATACTTTGGCTAGTATACATCAAATTTCTTACTTCCTAACATCTTTACAACTTTTTAAGGTTGAAAAAAAATGATTTGACCTATGTTGTATTACAGGTCAAAAAAATAATTATTAGTAATTACTTTTACTAAAAAAATAAAAAGAGTTGAGTATTTAAACAACGTTCATCTTGACTCATAACATTGTAGACTAAGTTATTTATTTTTATAGTATAATGTTTTTTTTTTCATTTCAGTAATTGAACAATTGTTTCTCTCCAATTTTATCCTTCCAAGTTATATTAGCATGATTTTATGTGTTTGGTTTTTTATATATATATATACTTTGCATGCTCTCACGTGTACAAAGTACCATGGAATAGTCCAATGTTGAATTAATAATTGATGTTATAATATAGAATTTTAGGCTATAAAAAAAATAAAAGAACAAGAACCAAAATAAACTAATAAAAAGAAAAACATAGCTCAATTTTCAAAACATATGAGAAATTTTAATTTGGTCCTTAAAGTTTCAATTTAGCATTATTTGATTTCTAAAGTGTTAGCATTTTACAAAAAAGAGTTCCATGAAAAGTAGATTAATGCTCATAAATGTTTTTTTATTTAGTTTAATTTTGGTTTTTTAGATTGATTAGATGATTTTTTTAGTTAAAATGGATTTAATGAGGTCCTTATGGGTTTTTTTTAGATGTTTGTTGTCTCAAAACTCAAATATCAACTTTTTAGCTGCTAGAGATTGTTAAAATCTTCTTTAAAAGATGATTTATTTCTCCTTTAACCTCAAGTTTTATCGAAACCATTACAACATTTCTCTCTTTGATAAGTACTACATGACCATATAAGTCATGTAATCTTGTGTGAGAAGCTAGAAAGAGAAAATTAAAATAGCGAGGATAAAACCACAACCATCAAAATTTTCAAGTATTAGATCGCTCTCATTAGCTAGCGATGACCTACATCACCACCATAGAAAGGTGGAGTAAGGAATAGTGCATCCTATGGGTTGGTTCATCCATCAAGTAGACATCGATGGCATATAGACATATTAATAATGATAACCTTTACTAACATGAGGCTATCGTATGTAACCATTATTTCCTTCCATCTAACCACTATTTTTTAGTCACCTTTGGCCATTTTATATGGTTTATTTCAAATCTTAAACATCTTTTGAATAGTTATGTTGGTTTATTATTGATTTTAATGTGCTTTATGATGAGCTTTTTAGGATTAAACATTGCTTATTATATTGATAATTTTGTTTGAATGCATTTTGTTAAATCCTTTAATTTTGCATCTTATTTTCATTCATGTCCTTGATCGTTCCCTCATTATCCTTAGCATTGCGACATGTTTTTCTTTGTGTACAAGTATTGATCTATTCAACAATATGTATTGACATGGTTTTTTTGGTTTAAAATGATAAAATAAAATAAAAAACTCAATGTTAATGCATACATTTATGTTGGGTTTTGTATCTTAGTTTAATTATAAAACCTATTATTGTTTCAACCCATATTAAAAGACCCACATTAAAATATTTAATAAATCCTCTCTTTTGTATAAATATTACTTGTTCACTTTTCTAAGAAAAGTTATTAATGATTAATATGTTAATCATCGACAATATTTAAAGTTAATGAATCATAATAAGTCATTATGTTGGATGTTGAATGGGACTAACACCTTTATTCTATACTATAGTTTTTTTTTTAAATCAAATCTTTTTTTGAAATGCATCAGTCATATACGTTAATGATTCTTAGCATTGATGGATTCTTAAAGGTCACTACTTTTAGGTATCAATTATAGGTATCAAGGTGAAACATTTATGTATGATGTAAATAATGTGTCCATGAATGCTTATCCACTGATAATGGTTATGCATATATAAGTCTTCATTGACCAATGTGCATAAATATAGATTAAAGGCTATATTCTAAAATCCAACCATTAATATGATTGTTTAGAGTATAAAAAACACCCTCAGAAAATAAATCTATAAAGATCATTATTGCAAAAACACAATGTTTGGCAACAACTTTTTCTAGGATAAAAACTGGGTTTAGTGAGCCTAATAAACACTCACCTAATTAATAATTGACATGACTTGATAAACTATTATGGGTTACAGGTTATGATCAGGAGTAAACAATTGTAGATATAAAAATTTACTAAGTAATTTTAGAAATGGAAAAATAACCTGAACTTAGAAAAAATAGGATCAAACCCTTACTTAGATTTTAACTTATTGTAGTAGACATATTCTCACCCATGTTAATAGATTATTGGTATTATGCAGTTGACCCAATATGAATCGAAGACAAACAACAATTTAATTTATCTTAGGTAGGATATTTTAGGGTGATAATATTTTTTTTCTCTAACATAACAAGTCATTTACTTTAGAACTTCAAATACTAGTTAGGATGACCATAATAATAGTTGACTATTTTTTTTTTATATAAGTTTTAGACCTTTCTACCTCACAATAAATAAATAAATAAAATCTTTCTCTTGTAACAAAGAAAGGGTTGCTACGATGTTAGGTGTGATAGATTGATAACTCCTTTGAGAATTTTAGAACTAAACTTTGCTTTTTTATCTTTTATCATTAATGTGCTTTTTATTTATTTCACTTTAATTTGCTTGTTATTTTCTCATCCTAACATTTATATTTTATTTTGTCATAAATATATTAGATATGAATTCATACCTTCATACAAACACAACACTATTTGAGAGCACACACCTTTACTTTAAGTTAGGTGGGTAAGTAGTTGTACCCCAATGACTATCAATTTAGGTAAGACCTTTGAAACACTAACTCCTATTGATTGTTAACTTGGATATGGTTAATATACCTATATAACATTCTAATGACCTCTGCTTTCACACATCTTGTAGACCTTATATCGACCTTTAAAGAATGATCACTAAGTATTAAGAGGTCTTTTGTGACAAATTAGCTAGTAATCATAACCATGCATGTAATGGCTAGAAGTTTCTTTAAGGGGTCTCCTTGTACTATCATCACTCTATATTCAATGTGTAGCTTGCATCACTACATATTTTATTTATTTTTATTTGTATATAGGTTAAGCTCAGTTTGTAGGTGAGATATAGATCCCTTAAAATTCATCCCTTCTACAAGATATACAATACCTCAAGAGA